ATAGAAACCTTCCGTGCAAATTTCCATAAAAGCAAAAAGCAAATTCAATATACAATATTCAAGTTTCCTCCATTCCATTTGCATCTAGTGCTTACCATAAACCCTAACCCTAATTCCCACATTTCTATACTAAAAAAAAGAAAAGAAAAAGAAGAAACAACAACAACAACAACAACAACAACCCAACTTACTCCATCCATCACCTCCTGATTCTTTGTCCATGATCACAATCTTGTTCAATCTCCGACGAAGGCTCCTCCTCCTCCTCGAACGCATCAATCCCATACGCTGCGTGTCCATGTCCAAAGGCCTTAATATGATCTTTTAATGACCTTTTATGCTTGAAATCAGACCCACAAGTACAATACCAAAGCTTGCCACAATTCTTCTCATGAGTTCTCCAATCTCCTCTAACTGCAAAAGCCTTGCCACATTTTCGACACATAAAGGGTTTTATCCCATGCTTTCTTTTGTAGTGAGTTTGAAGTGTTCTGAAGTCCTTTAAGGGTTTTGCCCGAGGGTGATCGATGTTGTTGCGACAGCCAGGAGCGCAGCAGTAGCATGGAAGTCTAAGCATCGCTGTTGGTTGAGTTCCTCGGAGAGATTCAGGGCCTTTTCTATATTGTGATCCATGCCCCCACATATGCATCTAGTGTAAGAGTTTGAACATATGAGAGAGAGATTAGGTAATGATGTTTCACATGGGAATAGCTTGATGGGGAATGGCTCGATAGTGAGAGGAGTATAAGAAAACCACCAAGCTATAGTTCCCTATCAAAATGTGTGGAAAAAAAATAAAATCAAAAGTGATCTCGTTGAGTATGGGAAGTGGTCTCTGTTTTTTATGAACTAGTTTAGATAAATGTTCATGAGATTGAAATTTTGGATAAGAATGTTTAGTGAGCCATTTTTTATGCCAAAAGAATGAAGGACAATGGATATTGTTCAAAAGAAAATTTGAAAAAGCTTGAAACCAAAAAAAATTAGATAAATACTAATGTAGTAAAAATTAAAGGGACAATACCAATAAAATTAGGTGAAGTACTCATGAAAATAAATCCAGTAGAACGTCATAGCATACATAAAAACATATCATTGATTAGGTCAGGGAGGGGAATTGGAGAAGAATGTATTGTTCAATAAGCAAGACAATTTGTCTTCACCCAACTTTTAAGAAGGAAGGGAAAGAAAATGACAAGAAGAATTGTGAGCTCATCTGACATTTGAGAAAGATATAATTGCCAATTCTAGCTATGGTTGAAAATTTTTGCCCTAATGATGAGAAAGAACTTAAAATACCATGAAATTATTGTTAAAGAAAAACATCGCCCTGGATGATGATTGTATCTAGATGTAATAAAAATTAGAAAAGTTGGACTAATACCAGAAAAATAATTGGCAATATAGAACACGAAAACATATATGACCATGGATTATATTGTTTTAAAGTATGCCTTAAGTAAAATATAAAAGAAAAAAAAATCATAACAAAGGCATGCCCTTGGATTACACAAAAATAGAGAACCTAAAGAAGCAACTGATATGTTCAAGAATCATGGCAATCTTCATCCATTATGTTCCACACTTGGCAAGAATTATGGAACAAAATTGGCAAGAAAAAATGCATGCTTGGTTTTTCAAGGGGAGTTAAAGTAGCTATCAAGTAGGTTTTATTATTATTATTATTATTATTATTATTATTATTTTGAATGGTATGTAGCCATCAAGTTAGAATATTTGTTCTTGATAGTTTAATTGGAGAGAAGAGAATCATTCAAGAGTTTTATTCATTGGAGATTGACTTGTCCCTATGAGAGAGAGAGAGACCGGGGAGGGGGGAGGGTAAGTCCATAGTGAATGGGGTCAGGACTAGTTCAGTGCAGGGTCTGCACTAAAAAAAGACTGTGATCTTCTTTAGAGACTGAAGACTGAGAGGAACAACAGAAGCTATACTATAACAAGGTCTGATCAAAAGAAACTGATCAGAGTTAAATCTTTTCCTGTAGAGTATTATCACAGCTGCCAAAGCTAACACAAACTCCATAAGTACCAAAAAGCACAATGGAACATACAGAGGTAACCAGTATGTGTAGTTCAATCACATAAAAAGGAGAGAAGGGCTACTATTTCTCTCTCACTACTCTTTTCCTCAGTCTGATCCTCACTTAGACCAGACAATGAAACTTGAGCTCATAAGACCTTCAGGTATAAAGGAAGAAGTAAAATTATTATTCTATGATGATGAAGTAGAAGAAAATTTTAAAAAAAAAATGCAAAGAAAAAAAGAAAGAAAAATTAGATCCGCATCACGACACAAAGAAATAAGAGAAAATTTTAAATTGACCAAGTTAATTGCCTTATATGATAATATGTCATCCAAAACTACATATGATACAAAGTTAGAAGACAAAAATTAGGGAAAATGAACTATATATAGGGAAATAGAAAATTAAATAAACGAAGGGGGGGGGGGGTGGGGGGGGGGGTGGGCATTAATTGAGTGTAAAAACGTTTGAACAGATGGGCAATGGAATGAGAGAAACAAATTATAATTTGATCAAATGAAAAAAAAAAAAAATACCTGCATATTGTTGTATCTATTGAAGGTCTTGAAGCAGACGGGGCAAGAGAACTGAGTAGGACCAATGAGGATCTGAGAAGGGGTTGGGATCCAGTACTGACCCTTGTTAAGCCTTCCTATTGTAGGGTACCCTAGAGGGGTATTGTTGTAATTATCGCCCTCATCCTTCCCCTCTTGATCATCATCATCCACTGCCACAGTAGCACTGCTTGAAGAAACCCTAGATATGAGATCAGCTGCAGTTGGGCTCGGTAAGCCTATATGAAGAGCAACAGTAACAGCCCCATCTTCATCATGGTCATGATCATGATCATGATGATGTCCATGTGATCCCTGGCCATGGCCATCATCATCACATGACATGGTTTCATCTTCTCTTCTTGGGGTGAGGTTGAGGAGGGGGAGGGCTTCTCTGAGGGGAGGCGAGGGGGGTGGGGTAGGGTGGCGGGTGTGAAAGTGGGTGAAGTTCTGGGTGTAGTTAAGATTATTGTGGAAGTTGTAGGAAGAGAGAGAGGAGGGATATTGAAGGGGAGGAGGGTTTGATGATGAGGAGTAGTAGTGATTGTAGAAGCCATTGAAGAAATTGGTATAGGGATCTCCCATGGCTTTAGAATGTGTTGAAGAAAGGTCAAGGGTTTTAACTTTATAGGAGGGAGGAGGGAGGGGGAGAGAGAGAGAGAGAGAGAGAAAATCACCTGGTGATCACTGAAGAGATGATGGAAAAGTTATACAAAGAGGAGAAAATAAAATAGAACAAAAATAATAAAATAAAAAGATTATGTAATTAGGGATTATGATATACATATATAATCTTGGGACTTGGGAGAACAAAACTTCCACAAGCATGTGAAGAAGCATTACATATGAACACAACACACCAACCAACAAGAGGGAAAGAAACAAGAGAGAGAAGGTAAATTTTGATCAGCCAAAAGACAAGATCAGATACTAGGGTTAGATGCTGTCTCCTACAAAAGATGAGAGAGAAAGGGTTAAATGTTAGTTTATTCAAGCTGGTTTTTGTTAGCTTATGGCCTTGATCCATTTGGTAGTATATAGTCTTATTAGGCAAATTGCAGTAAGCTCCCTCTTATATTATCAAATATTGCAGTAAACTTTTATTTTTTAGATCTAATAGTATATATATACGGCGAACACTGCAATTGTATTTTCATATTCAAACATACTCCAGAAAATTGAATTCTTTTACATATTAGAATCTGAATGTTTTATACATTGGTTTCTTTTTTGATTCCCTTGTTTTCTCCTTCTAAATGGACGCTTGATGACATTTGAAGTAGGATTACTCTTAATTATAATACTATCTTGTCATTTCTTTCTAGTATGCCAAAAGTTTACTACATAAAACCTTATGCACTATTACGTACTTTTATTGTTTATTTTTTATTTTTTTTACTTAGCTTAAGTCAGCTTCTAGCTCTTTTGTTGTGCATATTTTCATTTTTACAAATAATATTTATACTTTCCAAACGAAGAAGGAATGAATGAGACGTAATTCCTTAACTAGCCAGTTTTTGCTTATCATGATAAACTACGGTCTACGAAGTTGTTAACTCACCAAATTATACCGTCCCTAGCAAAGTTATGATTTATTTCAGTTACGAGTTTGAGATTAGAGGGCGGTCCCTCACTCAACTAGATATAGTGTCAATTAAGAAAGTTCAATATAGGTCGCGGGTCCTTATCGGCAAATTATCATGATCCATGTAGTTCTGTCTCCATGAACAGAGATCGGGTCCAAAAAACAACCCAAGTTTTGTCTATTCATTTTAATTTTGTTCAATGAGGAAAGTTTGTCATTAAATCGGTCGACCCAGATTAATTAATTAATGGTGGTGATCATAAATAATTTCATAGATTTTCATCCCATAGGCAACAGATTTAATTAGCTAGTAAGTATCCTTTTTCTGTATCCTACCATAAATTCCAGCTGCCTGTTTTGTGTGGTACCGAATGCAAGTTCAGAGCTATATATGTTTTTTCTTTTACATGCTTTTCATGTTTCAGAAACTATAATTAATTGGAGGTATTTATAACTAGATATTTCAAAACTAGCTACTATAAACTACTAGTAATTTTGCACCAAACTACCGTAAACTATTTTTATTAGAGAAAATATTACGTACCATCTAGAGAAAAATTATCATTTTGCATCAGAGATTTACCTTGACAATGTAAAAACGTGGTTAAGAATTAAGTCTAAAACGCGCGCCTCTAATGATTAAGAGCAAGAGTATACAAACTATTTCACGTTTGTATAATTATAGTTTAGCGATAGTTTTATGAGAAGCTCTACATAGAAATAATTTATCCTTTTACAAAACTACAAATTGACATTATTTTTAGTTGAGATCGACCGTAGAGGGTTTCCCAATATTATACCTTGGGATGAGACGGGCTCCTCCTCAACCCGACATTTTTTTGGATCAACGCAGAAAGCGCTCGTTTCCATAAATTGTAAAACCCATGGGTTGATGTTGCTATTTTTCACATTCATCTGTCATTTTTGGGACTTTTTTGATAATTTATTAGGGTAAGCGTACGTGTGCACTGTTCACACTCGACACACGCTCAGTGCATACTCTTCACACATCCCACGGGCACACGGTTGGAAGCACAAAGCACAAATTTTTCTCCTTCTTCTTCTTCCTTCTTCTTGCATGGGAAATTAAACACACCTTGTAATATTGTTTATAACTTAAAATCTTAACGTCTCACTGACCAGGAGGAGTTTGGTGAACTTTGCTCATGAGGATTCATGCGAATGTACCTCTATATTCAAAGAGTATAATAAGAAGTAAATGCATGCAGATTCTTGTCTGCGGAGCAATTAATTAGAGAATTATGCATTCTGAATGGTGACGATATTTTTGTATTATCGATCATGTAGAATGGAACACTGTGCTATAAGCATGTACCTTCAACCTCCTGTTATTTAGAGTGTAAAGATATAGAAAAGGCAAGAATGTGAGATTAGATTTTGAGACATGAAACTTTAATCTCTCGTTGATTAACAGTGGAATTGTAACGTTTTTGTACTCTGAGGATGGAGATAAATACATTGATTGTTGAACATTGTTAAATTTTAATTTTGTGACCGTGATTGTTTCTTTGTCGTTTGTTCATTCTATATATATCATCGATCTGTGGGGGTTTTTTTTTCGCTCTGAGCAGATAATACTCATAACTCTTCAACTATTTTGCTAACACTCCATGCATATATTGATGAAAAAGAAGGGCGTTATCTCTAACTTGATGTCTCGGATGCTCTGACATAAAAAATTTGTACCCCTTTGCGTGATTGGCCAAATAAGCTTAGAATTAGAATCCTATCATAACTGTTATGACAAATTCCCCAAGATAAGCTAATATCAATCACACGAGAGCATGAAAAGTATCAAGAACACACGAACACAAAGATAAATGTGGTTCGGCTTGTAGCCTACATCCATGGGCGAATGAGGAGAAAAGCTTTACTAATTGTAAGGAATACAAAGTGGAATATCTCAATCCCAAATAACACCCCAAAAGTATAATACAACTCTCAACTAAAGGAACAAAAGAGAAGAATATCAATAGGCTTCACAAAAGAACTCTCTCTTCTTGATTGGTGCTCTGAAGATTGATGCATCTAATTGGCTTAAAAGACTGTTCTTATATAGCCTTGAAGATCCAAACTCATTGTTGTCTAAGGAATAAGAGTTCTAATAGGAATAGAAGTTCACATGTCCTAAAATCCAACAAGAGTTCAAGTAGAAATAAATTAACCTCTAATATTATTGGTTGTGCAAAGTCTAATGTAAGTAGGACTCTTGATCAAAACAAACCAACCTAAAAAAGAATTCACAAAGCAATATGGATTTGAGTATTTGAGACAACCTATAACAATTCTCCACATTGACTCAAATGCGTAGAAAATTCCTCACTCCAAAATAAGCTAACTTACTCCACCTTCTCCAATAGCCTCGCAGGGCATCTAAGTGTGGCACATATCAATCAAGTCCAAGTCCAGCTTGAACTTGCTAATTGAAAGAGGCCTCCTTAATAAATTGATTGAATTTTCCACATGACGACCGTAAATATTAGCGAAGTTATCACCTGAAGTAGCTCCTGAATAGTTAAAGGGTACAAAATTATCAACCGACAATGCATAAGCTACTATATCTTTATATCTTCGCGGTGGTCAGATATCTCGTCTAGACCAATATCTAGCAATAGTGCATTCCCGCTCTCTTCCTGCAGCTGCTGAGGTGCTTCATTTACTTGAACGGGATTTGGCTGCTGAACTCTCGTAGTCTTATCCTACTGAAGAGCTGAATCACGAATTTCTAACTCCACCTTATATCCGTTAGTGCGCACCTTATCAACAACTAAAACTGATGATCGTTTTTTGTGGAACATAGCTGATTCATCAAAAGTAATATCACGGCTAATAATAATCTTAGGAGACTTCGGATTAGGACATCATAACCTAAAACCCTTAACACCCGATGCATAACCTAGGAATATGCACTTCTTCACTCGCGGCTCAAGTTTCCCTTGACTAACATGCACATATGCAGGGTACCAAATATTCTAAGATTAGAATAATCTGCAGGCTTACCGGACCAAACCTCCTCTGAAGTTTTACAACTAATAGCAGTGGATGGCGACCGATTCACTAAGTAACAAACTGTATTCGCTGTGTCCACCCAATATTCCTTGCCTAAACCTGCATTGAACATCATATGGTGAGCTTTCTTCAATAAGGTTTTGTTCCTATGTTCTGTCACTCCATTCTGTTGCGGCATGTGAGGGACTGTACGATGTTTAACAATTCACTCCTTCTTATAGAACTCATTAAATTTTCCTCCACAAAACTCAAGGTCATTATCAATTCTAAGCCTCTTAATTAGCCTCCCAATATGCTTCCCAATCAAAGACTTTCACTGTTTGAAAGTCACAAACACCTCATATTTATATCTCAAAAAATAGACCCAAACCTTCCTGGAGTAGTCATCAATGAAGGTCAATAAATATCTGGAACTACCACCCCTCGAGGTAACTTGAGAATGTCCCCAAAGATCTGAATGGATATAATCTAAAGTACATTTAGTCTGATGCACTACCGTACTGAAGCTGGCTCTTTTCTACTTTTCAAAGATACAATACTCACAGAATCCTAATTTTCCTGTACTCTATCCACATGAAAGACCCTTCTTACTTAACTTGGTCAATCCGCGTTCACTCATACGACCAAGTCTCATATGTCATAATCTGGCAGTATCAACTCCTGACATCGACGATGAAACTGCAGCCGAGCCGGTAGCTGTAGAACCTTGCAAAACATACAAGCTGCCGAATCTTCTTTCTTTTTATAACCATAATAGAGCCTTTTGTAACCCTACGAACTCCATTGTTTGGTGGAAAATTTATAGTAAAAATAAAAATTGAAAGAAATATATTTGATTTGTATTTTCTCAATCTTAATTACAATTTAGATTTTTGATTACAAAAGAAAAGATAATTAATCTGAATTCTCCCCTTTGTTTAAGTCTGGATTCTTCACGGTGACGATGGAGTGCCTCCCTCGAATGCTCGCATCGAGTTTGCTCTTCATTGATCCAAACACCTTTTTCATTGGAACGTGATCTTCTCCTTATGATTTGATACCATGGAGAACTTGTCAAGTAAGTTTTAGAACTCTGAACGAGTTTAGAAGAACTTGCAGAGCAAGTTTTGAATTCTGATCGAGTTGAGAAGAACTCTTAGAAAGAGTTCAAAAGCCAAGCCGAGTAATCTCAAAGGCTTCAATAAAAGCCTCCAAGTTATTCAAGAGTTCTTCCAAGTTTCTGATCTCCAAAGCTCCAAGAAGATCTGAAGAAGCCGAGTCAAATATCTCTTATTCGCTGCCAAATCGAAGGCTGAAGGATGGAGGATCCAAGGACCCGAACTCAATTGAGTTTACCCCTATTTATAGGGGATTAAGGGATATAACTCACCCTTTAATTCACTCCTAAGTGGGCGTGATTACCTCAGATCATGGGAAAAAATAGTTCTAGAACCGTTCGACTCATGATTGAATGAGTCAAATGCCCAAGTTGATGTTCAGGATCCTAACTCCACATCTTAGACTGGAGACGCGAGTTAGGCACCCACTGGATGTTGAAAAACGTAAGGGTCGCCCGTGTTTTGTTTGTTGAGGGCTAGAAACACAGGGGTCGCTTGCGTCTTAAGAACTGAAACGCGAAGATGAATTCCACGTTTAGAAGATGCTAGTGACTTATAACCTCTTCTGTAGAGCGTTGTAAAGACCATTGTTGAGTGATCTTAGCCTTGGCTATTTTGGGGTGTGAAAATCGTCAGATTATAACTCTCACAGTTGATTATGAAGACTATTGATTAGAGCTTTCATCAGTTATTGTGAAGGTCGTCAGATTGTAACCTTTATCGATCTACGTAAAAGTCTTCAAATTGTAGTCTTCTGGAAGCTGTCGAATTATAACTTCCATCATTGGTGTTTAATGGAGATTAGCTATCTGTTGTGATTTTTAGACAGTCTATAGAACCCCCTCTAAAATTTTTGAAAGTTCGCGATTGACTGGGACGAATTTTCGGAATATTTTGGATCTCAATTCTGATCTTGGAGCTGTTAATTCCTTATCGTAAAGGAGTTATTCTCTGCAACCGCTTCAAAGACATCTTGGTTGAAGGGATTTGCCACACAAGACCCGTATCACTACCACATTTGAGGCCTATGGGGACGGTTCTGAACCGTCACCCTAGGCATGGAAACCGTCACACTAGGTCTATGGGGACGGTTCTACATCCGTCTCATTTGCAGCCGTGCCCGTAGGTCTAATGGGATGGTTTATGCTCCTAGTGCAACGATTTGTAAACTGTCCCCAATAGTACCATAAGGGAACGGTTGTGCTAAGGGGTCGGTTCTTAGTTTAGAACAAGTGGAACGGTTGTATATCAAGGGGAACGGTTTTTAGGTTCTAAGCAACGGGAATAGTTTGATAGCAAGGGGAACGGTTTTTATGTTCTAAGCAATGGGAACAATTTTATAGCAAGGGGAACGGTTTCTATGGGAGCGGATTTTATACCAAGGGGGACGGTTTCGAGCTTGACCTAAGAGGTCGGTTATATTGTCTATAGGAACGGTTTTGTTTGTGATCTATGGGGACGATTTTTTATACCAAAGGGGACGGTTTTTATTTTTTACTGATCAAAACAAATCATCCAAATATCACACATCAGTCCATCACATACAAAGAAACAATAGTCCAAGTTTTACACAAAACTAACCAAACTTTAGCCTTAATATAATGAACAATTCATTACAACGAAGAACAATATTATAGCAATAGGATTGAGATAATTCTTCACAAGTTTTACACAAAAACATACCAAATTAAGCACATATCACAAATCCTCCATGATTAAAACAAAGAGCTACTACTTAATCAAAAGGTCAAAATGTCTCTATTGAGACGATTAAGTTCTAAATCTTCACAACAAATAAATCCCCCAAAGAGCGACAAACATGGATCTTCAGATGTTTTCCTGCATACATCAAGATAAAAAAATGAGTAAGCACAAGTAGAATGAAATGCACTGTAATACACCTAATCATGAAACAAATTAATGATTATCACATGATTCTCTATCTCTTAGCGACACACATGAGCTTGGATCCTCTCTTCTTCTCTTAGAATTAGCACATGATTCTCTATCTCAGTTGCCGTACTATGAAGATGGAAAGAAACAAATTAGCACCGTTTTGGTTCATAGAGACATTGATTTTTCTTTCTATTTTCATGTGACTTTATCGGTCTTATTACCTTTAAGAATAAATCGATAAATAACCTTTATTCTTTCTTTTTTCATGGAAGCTCTTTTTTCTCTTAATTCTGGAGCTTTCCTCTCCTTTCTTCATGAGGAACCCTTCACTCTTTACAGTTTTCGTAATCCCTCATGTGATATAGTCATATGGGCATTTCTGAAGCAAGGAAAAAGGGCAGATTTAAGGTTTGAAGTGTAGAGTAGAAACATGTGTTGTTGATATTTCATAAGGAAGACCTATCTGATATATGTGATATTTTGATATGCAAACAGTTGATGGATGCTTGCAGATACTTCTTAATTTACCATATCCTTAAACTTATAACACTTGTTAGACGTTTCAAACTTAATTTACCATATCATCCTCCATGATTAAAACAAAGAGCTACTACTTAATCAAAAGGTCAAAATGTCTCTATTGAGACGATTAAGTTCTAAATCTTCACAACAAATAAATCCCCCAAAGAGCGACAAACATGGATCTTCAGATGTTTTCCTGCATACATCAAGATAAAAAAATGAGTAAGCACAAGTAGAATGAAATGCACTGTAATACACCTAATCATGAAACAAATTAATGATTATCACATGATTCTCTATCTCTTAGCGACACACATGAGCTTGGATCCTCTCTTCTTCTCTTAGAATTAGCACATGATTCTCTATCTCAGTTGCCGTACTATGAAGATGGAAAGAAACAAATTAGCACATGAGTTCTTCACTCCAGTTAATGTTTTCTTCATACATTAACCTTGTTGGTTATTCCTTAATGTATGAACTCAATTTCAGATCAATCACGGTTATTGCAATGGCCACCCCTTGAATTTTCTTTCTCCTAATCAGGGACTTAAAAGCTCGTGATTATCTATCATCGCAAATTTCCGATGGATCATAATCCTCATCAGAAGCAAGATCCCATGCAGCCACTACCTTTTGCTTGGTAGAAAGTCAGTTTTTTTTTTACTGGTCAAGTCCCTGCATTATTGGTCATGCAATTTGAGCTCGAGCAAAAACAATGGATGTACGTATGTCTTAACATTTAGTTTTTTTTCTAAATGTTTCATATTCTCCTTAACCGAATAATGTTGACATTTGATTTAGTTATTTTAGTCATTTGCAAATTAAAAAACCATAACATGCAACACCTAACTTTTTAAGCTTTGGCGCACAAATGGATTCAAAAAGATGTTTATGAGAATCTACACCTTTTTATGTATTATTTAAGTCTGTACCTTTTTATTTAAATCCAAAATGAAGATGGATCAGGAGGAGGCACAATAAAGTACATGGATCCACTGTTAACGTCCATACATGAGATAAAATTAAACACTTGCAGGATATTCTCAACATATCTCAGTATAAAAGTATAGCAAATACATCATAAAGTTACCTTTAGTTGGAGCTGTGAATAAGAAGAATCGACCATTCCAAAGTGGAATTCCTTGTATCATACCTGAAATTTACAAAACCAAACGCATGAAAAACTAAGAGAAATTTACCAATCCAAATCAAGTTGTCATAATACACAAAAAAGAAAAAGAAAGATATAACAAAAGAAAAAACTACCTCATTTCGTGGCTGATGGCTGCTTGCAGATGAGCGAGGATGATCATGATTTCGAGCACTACCACCTTGCTCAGGTGATCTTGTGCGTGCAATAAGTCTTGCAATAGCCGCCGGATCAATTGTTTGCCCAAGTGTTTCAGTCAAGAGCTCGGCGAAACCATGAACCAAATCTGCCTTCTGCTCTTCAAACTTTTTTGTCAACTCTTGCTCAACTTTTTGTGATATAGTTTGAACAACAGATTCTGGAACTTGCTCAGAGGGATCCATGATCTTTTTATTTTTATTTTGGAGCATGGTTTTAGTGACACCCCTCCCCCTAAGACGTACACGTCCAGGATGTTCATCTTTCTTGACTAAATCCCATGCATCATCAGCTTCATCTTGAGATTTGAGTTCTTCTAAAGCACCCTGCATTAGCAAAATTTATATTTAGTTGCTATGCATGTTATATGAAAATTAGGACCTAAAAAGCAATATATGAATACTAATATTTAGGGAATATGGCACATACTATCAAATTGATTGTTTTCTCTCCTTGTGGATTTATCTTCTTTTTACGAGTCTCAATAAACATTTCAGCTTCACTTGGAGGTCTTCCCAACTCATTTTCCTATAATAAAGACATGATAGTTAAAATATTGATAAATACATTAAAAACAAACAAAATGAAAGGATGCAGTTAATAAGTAACACTAAAAAAATTTTTAAATACCATTTTTTTGCGAATCCTCGCAAAACTTATTGTCCCCGTAGTGTGCACATATTCTAGACCTTCACGATTTGCTTTGTTGGTCTCACTTGTTTTCTACACATATAGAAGGAACATGGATTTAAATAACAACCAGACCATTAGTATGAAACGATAAACGAGTGAACAAGAAACGATAAACGAGCCTATAACTCCTGTAAGTATGAATTCAATAATTTATGTATGCATGTTTTTTTTTCCACTTAATTTCTTTGCAAATCTCCTTATTCCTCAGGAGAAGGGTGTTCAGGCCCAGCTAATCTCCTCCTCTCTCTCTCCTCACTTAATTTCTCCCACTGTAGATCTCCTTATTCCTCAACCACCTGGGACCCGCTATTGCTCGAGCTCCTGACCCCCTGGCCCATCCTCGATCCCTCCCTCTCCCCTCTCCCTAATGCTTTCTGAACAAGAGCGAATGTGGCGGAAAACGTAAACTGACAGGTATCTTGGTCATTGACGGACAAAATTGCAAGACCCTTTAGGATTTTGAGGGCCTGATGAACAAGTCCAGAGAGTTGAGGATTAATATGAAAACATTGAAAGGTTTGAGGGACTATTATCTATATAGTCCTTCCCATAGAGTTGTTTAGATTCATTGAAATAGAAATTGATGGAACCGAGTATTAAAGAGACATAAACCATGTCACTTTACGATATTCACTGTACACACTCATCAAGGTGAGGCATCAGAATCAAAACAGGAGAAGTAAAAAAGGACAGGCCAACATTGTTTCATTCCCTTACCCTGTTAATAACAAGGTTAAGGACTCCAAGCACAAAAGGACATGCAAACAAGCAAATGCACGCATCATCCTCTAGCTGTGAAGGGCTACCACAAGAGAGAAATAAATAGTGTTTGTATGTTGTATAGGACTCACATAGATTGGACTTCCCTTTTCTTTCCCTCCCAGACTTAAAGCTCAAATTCCTTCTTTCTGAATCTCAATCAGCCCAGCGATGTCAGGTTTCAGAGTAGACAAAACTGAGGATTATTTACATAAAACAAATACTTTAAAATTGATGTTTCAAAATAATACTATTTCGAAACTGAGGATTATTTACTCTTAAAACAAATGGAAAGCTCAATTATATTGCAGCCCAGCGATGTCAACCCAGCGATGTCAGGTTTCTGAATCTCAATCAGCTCAAACTGAGGATTATTTACTCTTAAAACAAATGGAAAGCTCACTTATATTGCATAAATATTCTACTCCAAGATGACTTATCAAAGAAGGGAAAGCTCATGTTTCGAAATAATACTTTAAGATTGATGCTAGAACAGAAACTGCATGTCTGTTTTCTCATTTACCTTTGATTGTTCAGAGTTCCGGAATTTAAGCAAGGCTTTAAATTCTATTTCAGGTATAGTATTTGGCCGTGTTTTTAGTCTTTGTTTTTCATTTTTGAACCCGTCAAAACACTTCTTCTTCAATATGGACTTCCAGCGCCTCCATGCACAATTGACAGTTTCTAGGGTCCATTTTTTTCCATCCTCCGGAATGTCATATTTTTCCTACATTAACATAATTTGACAATAAACAAAATTTTGATCATAAATACTTGATATAAATAAGAGGGAAAGAACAACAGGAAATATCGATTAATTATAAAACTCGTACCTTAACATAATCCCATATTTTTTCTTTATCTTTTTCTTCAACTTTGTGCCAATTTTCCTTATCCAGAGGTGCAAAACTTGAGTTTCTTCCAAGTGTGCCTAAGAAACTGCTAAGTTCACTGCATGCCTTATCTGACGGTCCAATGGGTTGTCCATATCCATTTAAAAAAATAACTTGTCGATCATGGACACTTCGTGCATGAATTTTTTCACATTTAGTTTGCCCTCGATATTTTTTGGGTTTGTCTACCACTTTATTGGCTACCTGTCTTGTTGGTTGTTCCCTTAAGTCCTCACCTCCTTCAGACTCGTTTGTAAAATCATCCAAAATATTTTCCTCTTCATATTGCTCATCATGTTCACTAACATCTCCTTCAGCATCTTCTTTGAAATCCTCTCTAATATCTTCCTCTTCATCTTCTATGTTGGCCGAATGTTCTCCTCTTGCGATCACCTTTATTTGTGCATGATTGTGAAGTTGTTGTCGTGCCTTACTAGATTGTCCCTTTTGCTCTATGATTTTTTTCCGAATATCTCGCTCCACATTTTCTATTTCATCCAACATTTTCTCCTCTCTTGATTGTCTCATACGAATCATTTTCTTCTTTGTCTGCACCTCTAACTCTTTTCTTTGTATTGCAATATTTTTAGTAGGTGGTTCACATATATTGGGCGCATGCTTTCTCATAATATCCATATTATTTACCCGATTATGTTCTTTTGAGCGCACTTGTGGACATGTCGTTGCCACATTTGTAATCTGTTTCGGAGGATAAAAGATCCTGTTTTGCTTCTTTTTGTCACCACGTCCACATTCTGCGCTCGTAACCTACAAACAAGGAAAAGTAAAAAAATTAATACAGTTAGAGAAAGAAACTTAGAATATACAATTAAAAATCAACCCAACTTACCTCAAATGATCTCTTCTGTTTTGAAGAGGTTGACACAGAATTTTTTTCTGCTTCCATGTTTTTGTTTGTTCCCTGGTAACTCCAAGGACAAAAGATACATCAGAATGCATATTCGTACAAAATGCATGAAAGTTCTCGATGAATTGCAGGGAATGCATATTCCATGGTAACTCAAATGATCTATTTCTTTTTCTTTTTCTTTTTTGATAGAAAAGTGTGCCTTTTTGTTGCAAAACCAAACAGTCAGATATAAGAAACCTAATGAATATGAATTATCCTATAAGAGAATATTACTAACTACGCTATTCCATATATCAGATTATGGTTACTGAGACAAAACAGAACTAGCTGTCAGCCTAAGAGAACTTTGTTCGAAGCAAGCAAGCAAAAAAGATATAAATGATAACATAATTTTTATTTTGTAGGCTTTCTGCTGACTGGAGTTTTATTTTGTTTTCAGCACTTACTGGAAATCCGAAGAAGACGCAAACATTGCTGGTTTAGGAGGTGAAACAGAGGCTTATCCTTATGTTTCATTCACAAGTTGCGATGCTACCAACTTCTGGAGTTTTGAGTAATTATTCTTATAAGCATATATCAATGCAGCGGTCATTGAGAAACATAATTTTTATTGTATATTAGTATCAATTATTTTTCATGTGTACCCCCATACTCTGCATAATAGGCTAAATACGTTTTGTCATAAGATGTTTATAGGTTTCAGTGGTTTTTCAATATCGCGAATTGTAATTTTTTCTAGTCAAAACAGATGGTCATGAACCGAACCTCAGTCCTTGTATTTTATTTTTCTACTCAATAAGTTCACTTAATAAGTTCAACCTGAATTATATGCAACTTGATGCATATAATTTTGATTGATTGTTTTTTGGCTTCTAATCACAAATGGTATCAGAACTTAGAAGCTATAGCCAGGACATGTCTCTTTGTTCAAGAAGAAACTCATTTTTCTGTAAAATATATGTTCAGCTCTTAGCTACAAATTAATCTAAGGTCCCCCACCTTACAATTAATCCTTCAACGGCAAATGGGATAAAACATCAAATTTTCACATTTGTAAGGAAAATTACAGCATGACTACAATTAAACTTTTGGTTGAATAATACAAAAGTAATTGCGTTAAATAAAGATTTACTTCATCTGACCATCAAGTTGCATAAAGTAATTGCGTCATCAACTGTTTTGTTCTTCCTCCTATTTTGATACAAAGTGCATTTTTTGTATTAGCCAATCATACGATGTGAACGATTTGATACTAATCTTTGGCACTGGAGTTCTATAGGCGCTACAATTTAAGTTTCATCCGAACATCAGCAATGCAAGAAAGTTAGAATGGAGGAACAGTATTACCATTTTTTTTCAAAATAAATGCCACAGCGGCTCTTTGTTAGATATGCAAAAGTCTGGCCTAATATGTGACGATGTTAACATGCCTAACTCCGATAGTATAAGATACTAATACTCGCACAACTTGTCTATATATGAGCAAAAATTCTGCGTTCTTTAAACTACTAATTCATACTCAAATCATAAAGAAAATGACAAAGTCTACTCAACCCATATACTCAAAACATAAAGTTCAAAGCTCATTTCTTTCAAAACATACAGAAAGTCTCATGTCTTTACTCCATCCAATCCCAATCTGTTTCATCAAAGTCACTGTCTTCATCACCTTCCATTATATTATCATCATGAATATATATATTTGGAGGAATGTCAACAGTGGACCTCGGCACATCATCTCTACACCAACCCACATCATCTATGTCATCATTACTAGTTGGGATTAAATCACTGACAATGTCAATACTTTCAACCCAATAGTCACCTCCATGTGTAGCACCAATATCACGGTCAATATCATAAACATGACTAGGAAGCTTCTTTAAAACATAATGCCAATTCTTGTTTGCCTCTTCAACAGGATCCTTCACATAGAAAACTTGATGAACTTGACATGCCATGACAAAAGGATCATTTATATGGCCTTTGTTATTAAAATTGACGCGGATAAGCCCATATTCATCTTCTTCTGAATGAAACCAGTCACATTTGAATAGCACAACACTAAATTTGCCCCAATAGTCTATTTCAATGATATCTTGTATGACGCCATAAAAAGTAACATTTCCAGTTTTAGGATTATGATCCTTAGAACTTGCATAACTGTCTACTTGACTGGTTACAGACACACCACTATTCTGAGTTTTGCATGTTTCATCACGCGCCTTGATGTGGAAAGTACAACCATTCACATAATAGCCTCTGTATTTTTTTGCTACAAAATTAGGACCCATTGATAACCATTTTAGATAATCAGGCGCTGATTCCAACTCAGATACACTAATTTTAAACTAGTCAGTGAAGTCCTTGCTGTGCTTTTGAGCTCCCGTCCATTTATTTGTTCTGCCTCTTTTTCTTGACTGATTCTCAATCAAAAGTTTATGTTCACTGCATAACAATACAAAATACATAGGTCTATAAAGTGAAATATGGACAACAACATTAAATAAGAAGTAATATTTAAGTAATGAATCATACCGTATATAATTATCAACTTCATTGTTATCACAATTGTACAAGGCATATGAAAATGAGCATCATGAGTCTTATACCCAGATATTTTCTTCTCCCTCACATTTACACATCTTGAGATATTTGATGCACAACCATGAGGCACTTTTGCATCTGCCAACACTTTGCAAAACATTTCTTTTTCCTGTGATGTCATAGAAAAGCAAGCTTTCGCAAATGTAACACGACGATCATCAGCCGACTGCACAGGATGAAGATCTCGTCTTATGCCCATTTTTTGTAAGTCAACAATCCAAAATTTGTTGAACTAAATGAACAGGAAGATGAACCATGATGTCAAAGAAACTTGGTGGAAATATTTTCTCAAGTTGACAAAGTATCTCTACGATCTCAGACTACAAGGATTTAAGTTCAACTGGCTTGAGAACTTTGCTGCATAAACCCTTGAAGAAAGCACATAATCTGATGAGAGGAATAGCAACACTCCTAGGCAAACTTCTTCTTAATGCAACTTGAAGTAAATATTGCATGAGAAAATGAGCATCATGAGTCTTATACCCAGATATTTTCTTCTCCCTCACATTTACACATCTTGAGATATTTGATGCACAACCATGAGGCACTTTTGCATCTGCCAACACTTTGCAAAACATTTCTTTTTCCTGTGATGTCATAGAAAAGCAAGCTTTCGCAAATGTAACACGACGACCATCAGCCGACTGCACAGGATGAAGATCTCGTCTTATGCCCATTTTTTGTAAGTCAAAGCGAGCTTTAACATGATCCTTCGTCTTTCCTGGAATGTCTAACAATGTGCCAACAATATTGTCACAAACATTCTTCTCAATATGCATTAAATCTAGCATGTGACGACATCTATTATGCTCCCAATAAGGTAAATCAAAAAATACTGACCTTTTCTTCCACGGACAATTTCTATTTGCTTTTTTCTTTTGCTTTTTTCCAAATTCATTGACAAAATCAGATAATTCATCTATAATTTCAGTCCCAGACAGTGATATCGGTTCTCTTCCAAGCTCAATGTCACCATTAAACGATCTTTTATTAAATCGCCATGGGTGGTCATCTTTTAAAAATCTACGATGACCCATATAACACATCTTCTTGCTATATTTTAAATACTCAGAGCATGTATTATAATTGCAATAAGGACAAGCCAACCTGCCTTTAGTACTCCATCCGGACAACATTGCGTATCCTGGGAAGTCACTAACTGTCCAAAGCAAAGCTACACGCAATTTAAATGATTGTTTAATAGAAGCATCATATGTAAGTAATCCAACTTCCCACAACTCTTTCAATTCATCAATCAGTGGCTGCAAGTATATGTCAATGTTGTTGCCAGTTTCTTTTGCTTTTTTCCAAATTCATTGACAAAATCAGATAATTCATCTATAATTTCAGTCCCAGACAGCGATATCAGTTCTCTTCCAAGCTCAATGTCACCATTAAATGATCTTTTATTAAATCGCCATGGGTGGTCATCTTTTAAAAATCTACGATGACCCCATATAACACATCTTCTTGCTATATTTTAAATACTCAGAGCATGTATTATAATTGCAATAAGGACAAGCCAACCTGCCTTTAGTACTCCATCCGGACAACATTGCGTATCCTGGGAAGTCACTAACTGTCCAAAGCAAAGCTACACGCAATTTAAATGATTGTTTGATAGAAGCATCATATGTAAGCAATCCAACTTCCCACAACTCTTTCAATTCATCAATCAGTGGCTGCAAGTATATGTCAATGTTGTTGCCAGGGGATTGAGGACCAGGAATAAGTAGAGATAGCATGAAATATTCTGCCTTCAAGCACATCCATGGCGGTAAATTATAGTTGATTAAGATAACTGGCCATGTACTATGCGCAATACTCATTGTTCGAAAGGGGTTAAATCCATCACTAGCAAGCCCTAATCTCACATTACGAGGGTCTAATGCGAACTCTGGATGCTTTTCATCAAAGTCTTTCCAAGCTTTACCATCAGCCGGATGCCTTAGAATCCCATCCTCGATGCGCTCCTTAGAATGCCAACTCATAGATTTAGCAGTTTGAGAACACATAAATAGTCTTTGAACTCTAGGTTTTAAAGGAAAGTACCTCAAAACCTTTACTGGAACATTATGCACCTTTTTAGTTAGTTGATTGGAGTCATTTGCTACATCATCCTTCTTTGGCTTCCACCGAGAAGCACCACAACTACTACACTTATTCAGTTTCCCATTTACATTTCCATAGAATAGCATACAATCGTTAGAGCACGCATGTATTTTTTCATAATCGAGACCCAAGTCCTTGACAATCCTTTTGGCTTCATAAAAAGACTTTGGCAACTTTATGTCTGGAATTGCTTCCCTCCACAAGGTCAGAGAATCATCAAATGCCTCATTGCTTAGTCCATGTATGCACTTATGCAAGTTTTGCATCCTGGGAATAACTCTTGTTGGCCTTCTTCCACTAACTTATAAAATTTCTTAGCATCCTCGGTCAATTCCTCTGTGCCTTCCTTTATGTCTTCTTCATCGTTATCTGAAAACTCTTCTATTGTGCCTCTAAAAATATCATGTAGTAATCCGCCTACATCATCATGAGTACGTGCATCATCATCATCACTCTCGCTATGGACGTTCAATCTTGATGGCAAATCCTCACCATGGAAAACTCATTTGTAATAATCATCTATAAATCCCTTGACAATCAAGTGATTGCAGACATTATTTCACTGATGCCAACAACGATTAAAACAACCACGACAAGGACAACATATTTCATTCCCTTTAGCTGCTTTTGCAAATGCTTTATCAAGAAAGTCATTCACTTTTTCAATGTACTCGGCACTTACGCGAGAAGTATTATACATCCAACCTCTATCTCTATCCATAATTTGTATCTGCTAGAGAAAAGTAAATATATTGAGACATCAATAATATATATCCTAGCAACAATCATGTATAAAAATTCATCAACTAATTTAAAATTTTACAATTTGAGTTCTTGAGTGTTTGTTTTTAGGAATCAGGTCCTTTTTGAATTGGGTTAATTAGGGGGCCACCCCTGCAGCGCTATTATTAAACATAGACTCCCTGAGTGAATTTTTTTTCTCACTCACCGTCAGAGGGTATATTTGTAAAACAAAAACAAAATTTCTCTTTCTCTGAGAATTAAAGAGTTAAAAAAGTTTTTAGTCAGGGTCTATGCAGCTATAATTACAGAGCTTCTAAGGGGATACTATAGGGGGTCTACGGAAACTAATCTATTTCTAATTATTGTGGATTAGTTACAACCTTAAATTCTATTGCTGCCTGAAAAAAGTTTCAACTGCAAATACCCCCAAATTTGTAAACAAGTCATCAATTGCAACCGAAGGATATTTTACAACTGTGGTTGCAACCGCATTTATAAGTCGTCATGAGGCAAACAACTGCTACTGACACAACCAAAACAACAAAGCCCTAATTTGTAAAATCAAATAAAATTTTCATTAAATAGAGAAAAAAAAATTGAAACCCTAGGTTTGATGACTAAAAAGGAGAGAGATATACCCCAAATCACAAGATGATAGAGAGGGGATAGCGATGAGAGTCGCGGCTGACAGGGGAGGCGCGGCGAACTGACAAAGATCAGGTGGCAGGCGGCGAACAGAGGCGTCGACGAGAGGAAAAACGAGAGCGGAGAGGAGTGGCGGACGCGGTTCCGAGAGAAGTCGATGAGAGCGGAGAAAACCCTAGAACTATCGGGTGAAGAAAGTTTTTAGACTTATCAGGTGAGGGCGCGGTTCTGAGAAAGAAAATAACTTTTCTTAAAAAAGTTTGGGCGCGAGCCCTTAATAAAACCGTCCTTTTAGCCTACCAAAATTTTTTTTTGAAGCCTAATTCAAGCCCAACACTTTATTTTGAACTGTTGCCTTAGACTCTATTGTGACGATTGTAACCGTCACACAACTGTTCCCTTAGGAGGCAAAGGAGACGGTTTTAAACCGTTCCCAAATAACCGTCCCCATATATCTATTTTGTGGTAGTGTATTAAGGTATGTGTCATAATCCTGCTTCTGGAATGTGGGGGTGGACCCCTGCTGATACGGGTGTATCTTCTCTTTGGAGCTTAGCGATCCTCATAGGAGCTTGAGGATAGATGATTCTCATAATAGCATGAGGATAGGGGTGTAAAATAGTTCAGTGGAACATAGGTGGAAGCGTGGAACGAGACGGCGAGCAGCAGATTTGAAGAATCCAGTTTTTAGCTTGTGAGTCGACTCATACCTGAACATGAATCGACTCATCAGGTTGAGTCGACTCATGCCTGTCATGAGTCGACTCACGAAATCAAGCCCTGTTAGCAAAAGTCTCTGACCAGTCAACTCATCAGTTATGAGGTGACTCATATGAGGTCATGAGTCGACTCATCTCAGTCATGAGTCGACTCATCGACAGTTTCCTGATTCGTTTAGGTTTCTATTCACACGAATTCCTGTTGCTTTTAGGATTGGTTATTTACCAGATTGCTATCCACGTTTGTACACCTATATAAAGGGTTGTTTAGGGTTTCTAAACATCATCTTGATCAACTTAGAGAGATCTTAGATCAGAGAAAGATTCTAATAATTGTATTAGGGTTTAGAGAGGATTGAGAGGTTGTTCTCGATTCTAGTGAGATTATGAGGGAGAGATTTATAATAATTAATTCTTCATAATCTAGAAAAGGTATTTTCTTTTGCTATACTGAATTGTTCTTGTGTTTTAGTTGTCTTCTTCTCAACCCACCTTTTAGTAATTCCACGATCAAAGGGTGCTCGCACGGCGACTCGTATCAAGTTGGTATCAGACTAATCAGATCCGGTGAAGGGACATCCTATGTATGGTCCTTACTCGATCACAGTACAAGAAGCTTAGCGAGATCCTTATTTCCTTGGAAGAAGTCCAGAAGATAAGGAAGGAGAAGATGACTGAATGAGACAATTTAGCGAGGATTGATGCATTGGAGAAGCAGATCGAGACGATAGGTTAGACTCTCACACAACTCGTCCGTCTTATCCATAGAGGTGGCAAATAAGGTGAATCTTCTTCAAAAAAAACTGTTGAGTCCGATGTGGAGAGAGTAGATTCAGATTCCGACGAGGAGGAGGAGACCGTTAAGACTGCATTGCATCAAGGGAGTAAGAATTATTATCAGAACCTGAAGATTAACTTCAAGGTGGAGATTTCTGTTTATGATGGGAGTATTAACATCGAGAGGCTTGATGACTAGATTGAGCGGATGGAGACGTATTTTACTCTTTATGGCTATTCGTCAAAAGAGAAGATTGTGTTCGCGACGCGGATGGAGACGTATTTTACTCTTTATGGCTATTCGTCAAAAGAGAAGATTGTGTTCGCGACTTTGAATCTTTCAGGGCACGCGTTGACGTGGTGGAAATCCTACTGCAAGCAGAAAAAGAAGGTGGTGTCGTGAAACAAGTTCAAGGAGTTACTAAGAAAGGAATTTTACCCGGTGGGATTCGTTGAAGAGCGTTGGTACAAGTGGTACGGTTTGCGCCAAAGGGTCAATCAAACCGTTCAAGAATACATCACAGAGTTCCAGTAGCAGGCGATGATCCTCAACATTACGATAGAGGAATATTCCGTGTTTATTAAGTATATGGCGGGATTGAACGATTACATCCAAAAAGAGATGAAGCTATTCACGGTGGAATTAATTGCAGAGGCGAGCGTGAAGGCTATTACCCTCGAGGAAAAGCAAAAAAAAGGACAACGAGGCTAAGGGAGACTCCAAACAGATGGGAAGTGAGTCTAGTGGTTCTCAATCTAAGGAGGAGAAGAAGAAGGGTGATCTAGGAAAAGCAGGGCTGATTTATAGTCACTACGAGAAGACATGACACACAGCTGATCGGTGCTGGGAGAAGTATCCACATGTCAAGCCAAGAGGGTTGAAGAAGAAGGAGGAGAAAAAGGCATACATGATAGCTCAAGATCCGAAAGAAGTCTCGGGGATGACAGAGCCCAACAGCAATCTCAACCTTATGATGGGGAAGCAGACCACGAAAAAGGACGACGACCCGAGAGAGCAACTCTTTGTTCTTAAGTTGTAAGTGAAGACCAGTTTGGTTGATGCCATTGTTGATTCGGGTAGTGAAAAGAATTTAATATCCGAGGTATTGGTTCAGAAGCTGGGTCCATCTGAAGCCTTATCTATTGGGGTGGATTCAGAAGGAGGAGAAACTGAGTATAGTTGATCAATGCACTGTCAGATTTGCTCTCCACGAGTCATATATTGACGAGGTCACGTACGATGTCGTTCCATTGGATATTTGTCAGATTATACTAGGCAATCTGTACTTATGGGATAGATATGCGATCTACGAGAGGCGGGCTCAGAAGTACACCTTTGCTAAGGATGGTGAAAAGTTCAGATTTCATTCGATATCTTCCGAGGGAGACAAGCTTAGGGACGGTGACGTGAGCGAAGAGACTGGTGAATGCAAGTAATAAGTTTGTCTCACTGTGCATTAGACTTCCAGAAAAGCCATCGATAAAGGATTGCAACTTAGAGCGAACGGTGACTACGACGAGATGCGGGACGAATGAGTTGTTTCTGATCGGACGTCGAGACTAGATTCCTAGCAAGGCCAGATGGTACAGAAAAGATGGAGGAGCTTGAGAGTTTCCTCAGCAAAAGTTCTAACTTGAACGGGACTTCAAGTTTCTAAAGAGGGGACCTATGATACGGGTGTATCTTCTCTTTGGAGCTTAGCGATCCTCATGGGAGCTTGAGGATAGATGATTCTCATAATAGCATGAGAATAGGGGTGTAAAATAGTTCAGTGGAACGCAGGTGGAAGCGTGGAACGAGACGGCGAGCAGCAGATTTGAAGAATTCAGTTTTCAGCTCGTAAGTCGACTCATACCTGAACATGAGTCGACTCATCAGGTTGAGTCAACTCATACCTGTCATGAGTCGACTCGCGAAATCAAGCCCTGTTAGCAAAAGTCTCTGACCAGTCGACTCATCTCAGTCATGAGTCGACTCATCGATAGTTTCCTGATTCGTTTGGGTTTCTGTTCACACGAATTCCTGTTGGTTTTGGGCTTGGTTATTTACCAGATTATCATCCACGTTTGTACACCTATATAAAGGGTTGTTTGGGGTTTCTAAACATCATATTGATCAACTTAGAGAGATCTTAGATCAGAGAGAGATTCTAATCATTGTATTAGGGTTTAGAGAGGATTGAGAGGTTGTTCTCGATTCTAGTAAAATTGTGAGGGAGAGATTTGTAATAATTGATTCTTCATAATCTAGAGAAGGTATTTTTCTTCGTCATACTGAATTGTTCTTATGTTTTAGTTGTCTTCTTCTCAACCCAACTTTTGGTAATTCCACGACCAAAGGGTGCTCGCACGGCGACTCGTATCACCTGTGTTTTGAACTT